ACCTAGATTTATCCAGTGCCATACAAAGGATGAATAAACCTTTTCTCTAGAACAGGGGAACAGTATATGGAAAATTTTCTAAATATTACCATCTAAGTACTTTGAAATATTTCTATGGTCAGCATGCATTGCAAGCATGGTTTTGTTTTCACTTCTCTCTGATACTTAAAGGCAGGGAGGGGAGCACTGTGGTAAACCTGCCTTTTTCTTCCGAGCATTTTTCCTTCAGAAACCTTATAGCAGCACTGGTACATGCTTTTGCTGAGACATCCCTTCCACATTTCATACTCTGTTTAAAAAGCTATAAAATTAGATGCTAAAGATATTATTCCAAAGTTAATAAGACTGTTGAAATCAACTCTGTAGTTGTTGACATACGCTTAACAAACGAGGTAACCTGTTCCACATCTCAGATGGTTTTCTTTAAGAAAATGAACAATTAAACCTTACTGATTTATTGCACAGTTTTTTAGTTATTAATGAATCAGGATTTTGGCTTTAAGATAACTATGTTTTGAATGTATGTATACATTATATGCTAACTAAGTCAAGAGAAGCAAATTTATGTGTTACTTCTTGCTAGTTTCTTATGTTTCAAAAAGAGAGCAACTTCAACTATTTATAAACTGTAATTAAGTTTCTTTACAACATGACTCATTCTCAACAAGCAAGTCCTTTTTCTTTTGCGTTCTTATGAACCGTGTGGGAAAATTAGGGTTCAGTCACCAAAGAATTTACTCAATGCTTAATTACCCAAAACAGCCCTCCAAGTTCTGCTCATGTAGAGCTTTCATAAAGACGTGAGTTTCCCCGCACTATGGCTTTCTAAAACTTGACTTTTAAAAATGATCTGTAAATTGTAACATAGGAGAAAGCAGTGTTTTACTATGGCATTGGCTTCTTTCTCCAGTCTGCTTCTTTGAGCTCCTCTTACATTAACAGTGTGATGCTTAGGAAAGCCAAAGTAAGAAATCATCAGGATTAAATTACTTTGAGCATGAAACTGAATTAGAAAGCTTTACTTTCCTGAATGAGCTAATTGTTTAAATTTTCCAAAGGAAATGTTTCTATTTCTGTGAGAGAAGGGGTAAATGGGACTTCCTCTGACATAATTTTCATTTTAAATCTGAGTTTGACAGCAAGATTTTTACCTTCATAACCAAATATTACTGCTTAACTGCATGACTTGTATAAGCTTGCTAGTTGAAGTGACTCACTTACGTAGATGAAGTTATTTTTAGGGAGATAATTTGCCCTGTTTAGAAGAGAGGAAAAAAGGGAGAGAGAGTCCTGCTAAGAGCTAGATCCCTCATTATAGTTTACAGAGCTCGTGAACCCAGCATCCAAGCAAAAGATGACTAAGCAAGGGGTCTATTGGTACTTTCAGGAATTTACAGACATGAGTCATCTGCTTATTTTCTGCAGACATATCACCAGGGTACTTTGTGAGTCAGCTGTTATTTGGAAATAGTTCTTGTATTCCACATGAATACGTTTTTGTAGTTCTTAGGTAACCAGCATGCCAAACCAAAGTGGGCTTTTATAGTTTGCCTAGTTCAGGTGTTGATTTACAAAAGCGGTGCGTTGTTTTTAACTGTGATGCATTTTTCATGACAAAGTGTAAATGTTGTCTGGGATGTAATTATGGTAACACTTACCTTTGCCACCTTACGTATCGCATGCAGGCAGATCTGATTTTGTATTAATGCACAGATTGCGAGTCAGATTGCCTATATGACCAGGTAAAAAGAAAAAACTTCTTTATCAACCTGTGTGACTATGAGCAGAATTTCACCTTTTGTCTTCCAAGCACCTTGCTAGTGTCGATTACCAATGGCATTTGCTTACTTTTCATGTACGATAAAACGCTTCACCCCAAATCCAAGCATTCTGTGCACTCACCGTGTCAATGGACGGGCATCCACTGCGACGGAAGTGAGTTCTAGCCTTCCCTTCCTACTGCTGAAATAATAGCTGGCTACCTCGAGATGTGTATAACACTTTACAACTCAAGGCTGTTTCCTGTTTACTGGTCTTTGAGGTGTGGTTGCGTTCCAGAATTAGGGACAGGTTTTTTTACTTGGTCTGGACTCATCTCACACCTTGTATTAAGGAATACTTGGGTTAGAAAAATGGGAGACTGGCGATTTTAGGTGAAGGGTAGTGTTGTTAATCAAAGGCAGGTCAATTTTTTCAAAACTCTACTTGCAGTTCAGGATGATACTGCTGTTGGCCAGATGTGGGATGCACAATTCTAAATCTAATTTGATTATCTGATTCAACAGTTTATAATGTAAGTAATTGCTGAAAATTCCAATACAGGTTTTCATTAATAAAAGAGGAAAATATTTTCTGTTTTATTTTGGTGATACCAGTGTTGGAAAAATATTTTTATAAAAGGAAGGCTTCTTGTAATGAATGGAAGTGTCTGTGTAGTGATAGCAATGTCTTGATTATCCATTTAAACAGCATTTCTAGGGCTAGATACTTTCTCTTAAGTGCAAACCTTTAGTTTTAGGTAACAGGAGGAAAACTGCTGCTGCTTGCCCCCATTATGTAGACAGAGGTTTTCAAAGGAAAATTAATGAAAGTTAGAAATTCTCAAGTAGAAAGTTAAGTATAAGGACTGAACTATTACTGGAGTGTTTTGCTAAGGTTTGTTATTCCTTTCACACAGTGATAAAATACACAAGCATACAGAGTAGTTTTCCTTTAAGGAGCTGGTACTTAGGAAGGAAAAAGATGCACTAGAGGAACAGAGTTTAAGTACTCAGAGCTGAAGAAGTATATTTATAACATTAAAACGGAGAGCCTGTCTCTTTGCTTTGTACTCTTCCACGGTGAAATCCTTCAGAGGCTGCGGCACACATACCATCTGCGAGGGGAGGAGACAGCTTGCTTGCTGATAAATGGGCTCGATACACCAATGTTTTTCAGGGCTGTTATTTAATAATCATGTTCTAAAGAGGAATTTGACGGGGCAATCTTTGAATCTAACCTTTGTTACAGTAGTGATCTGCCCTCAAATTAACAGAACTCTGCCTATGTCATTACCACTTAAATATCTGCTGGAAGCTGCTGTGTGAACTGAGTCACCAGGACTCGGGGAGTTATCACGTGTAGCTCAGACACTGGGTCATGAACTAAGCAAACGCTGTCGTCCACGGTGATTTGTTGTATTTTGAGACTACAGCTGGAACATCACATTCAGTTTTGTGTACTTCACAGATACAAACAGTTTTAGTCCTAGAGGTTGGAGGGTAATTCAGGGAAAAGGGAGCTATGGTTTGGCTTATGCACGTCCAAGTATTCAGACATGATTAGAAAAACTGAAAAATGAAGGGACTAGCAGGATGATAGCATGGGATTTAGAAAAATAAAATCTGTGTCTATGAGCAGAGATTTCAAAGGCAATGCTCCATGAAGTGTTTAAAAGTAGAAAATATAATGCATTACCAAGTGTACTGGAGGGGAGATCCTGTTCCACCTGAGGATGGGTTCAGTCCTGTAATGTTCCTTTCTCTGTCTTAAAATTCTGTTTGTAGTGATTTTGCCACATGCTTTGGCTCCTACTTCAGCTTTTACAACCTGTTTATTAAGTTAGGAGTCTTTCCTTCTATTTAAAAAGAACTGTGAAGCCACATAGAATACTGAGAACCCAGGCTCATATGAATGAATTGTAATCTTATTAATTTATTTCGCTCATTGCTACACCAATAGGAAAAATGATTTAAGATTTACAGGGAGTTACTGTTCTATTGTAGTGTTCTTTCATTGTGCAGAATTAAAGAATTGTGATTTGGAGGACAGCAAAAACTACAGTCGTAGGTGCTTTGTAAATTAAATCTACACCTTTAAAACAAATGCACATCCTTCTAATCTTGGTATTAGATTAGACAGGTAATGTAAATAATTCAAGTCTGTTGTCATAACTCAGTTTAACTATAGATTTCTGAAGCCTCCTGAAATTAAAAGTAGTCCAAGAAAATCTTAAGTATAAATCTAGCAATGAAAAAGTTAAATTAAAAACCAGTTTCTGACCATATTATTAACTGTTGTAGACTATTTTATTGTTCTGCCAGACCTAGATGATCATGAGACAGTGATAAGCAAAGGGAACTAAGAGGTTCTGATTTTTATTTTTAGTGAGATATTTTGGGTATTAATGACTTTGCAGTGTGTTTTTGGTTTTGGGGGTGGTTTTTTTGTCTAACAGATGACGGCAAGTTGAGATCGTTTCCAGCTCATGTGACTGAATCTTTCTACATCCTTTATCAAGTCATTTAACCACTTTAAGTCTCAGACAGCTATAAAATGAGAATGATAATGGGTTTGATGTCCATGGGGGTACTAAAATGAATTGGCTAATGCAGATAAAGAGAAATCTGTTTCTTGAATGGAAAGAATAAACAGATTGTATTTTGTGGATTTTTGAAAGGGAAAATTTCGCTATAAAGGAATATATTGCATTAATTTTTCTATAACAAAATAATCATGGTGTAAATGTTATGTTTAGCATAGAAATACTCTAGCTAAATATTTTTTTAATGATGTAATTTACAAAACTGTTTTGATAAAGCAAACTGTCTCATACAGCAATATGTTGGAATCATTACTTATAAGAAATGCAGAAGTATATTTTAGAAGTAATCATCAATTTCTCCTGTTCTGTCACCTTTAAATCAATAGAAAGGAATGATATATTCCCAGTAAAAAAAAAAAAAAAAA